CGTTACTATGAACTGAATTTTGTGTCTCCCCCAAATTCATATGTTGAGGCCCTATTTGGAGGTGGGACCTTCAAAAGGAAATTGGTTTTGAATGAAGTTATGGGGGTGGAGTCCCCAGGTTGGGATCGGTGCCCTTAAAAGGAGATAAGGAAACCAGGGCTCTCTCTAGCCACGTGAGGTTACAGTGAGAAGGAGGCTGTCTACAAGCCAGGAAGAAGGCCCTCGCCCGAACCCAGGCACACTGGCACACTAAGCTCAGACTTCCAGCCTCCAGAACTGTAAGAAAAAAAAATATTTGTTGTTTAAGCCACCCAGTCTATGGGTCTCGTAGGTTAAACTGACTAAGACAATAAAATTTGAGGTGAAGTAACTTGGAAGGAATGTTTTCCAGAAGAGATAAGACCCAAGCTTGTTTTAGGCCCTGGGAAAGAAAGCAGTGTGGGAAGAGATTGGGAAGTTGAGGGAACGTTAATCAGCCGAGGTCTCAGAGGAGCTGGAGCAGTACGCCAATATCAGAGCTAGCTTTAGTAGGAAAAAGGAAAGTACAAAAGGATACCATAAACGAAGTTAGTGCATCTTTTTGAGGAGGAGGGACACAAAAGATATTAGAGCCAATGAACCCATTTGTTTTCCCAATGGATTGGGAGAAAAGATCATCAGCTGAGTGGGAAGGTTGGGACTAGGAGCCGAAGGGGCGTAGAAGAGGTATATTGATGCTACACAGAATGAAATAGGGAATGGTGTTTGAATTATTAGTTATGCCTGTGAGATTCCTAGGCTCCATCCCAGATCTACCAAATCTTAGTCTCTGAAGATAGGTGATCCTAGTGCACACTAAAATCTGGAGCCTTTGAACTTTTGAAATAAAAGGTTGACTAATGATATTGGGCCACTTGATGATGCTAGATTACAATTATTTAAAATAGGGTCCATCAATATATTTATATGATTTTCTCCAGCATTATTAACAACCTGGGAAAAGAGTATTTGAGAAAAATATACAGCTAGGTATACCTGGAGTCGGGCTTTGGCAATGTGGGTGTAGAAGTTAAGTCGCTGGGTCAATGGAACTGGAGGTGCTGATAAGTGCGTCATTAACCTGGGTACTCACGAGGTAAGAACTGGGTGGAGAGGGAGGAGTTGGACTGGGATTTATGAGGAGGATGTAAAGCAGCATTGTGAAAGTCAGAGAGTGAGTGAAATGTAATAGCTAGAAGTTTTGGTCAGTGAGATGAATCTTGGTGTAAAAGATTTTGAAAGAGGAGATGGTGACACAGTCCCAACAGTGGCCATCAAAGGGTGGAGATAAAGTTGGCTCAAGTAGAAGTCCAGGAAGTGAGGTCAGGGTGTGAGATTGTTACCCTTACGAGCACCAGGCTTGTTAGGTCCCATGACTGAAGGCAAAGGTGGTGCACTCAAGATAAAACAAGATAGAGAAAAAGAGAATATTAGGATCAGGGAGGGACAGAGTCAGTGGGAACTAAAGGAGCTGGGTAGGCTAGCCCTAGAGATCCAGCATGGCACTGCACCTAGGAGAGCACAATTTTAGAACCTTTGATAGCAGGATAAATCAATATTTTGGCAATGGACAGTGACCTCTTAGATGTCCATGTGGTGATAACTGGAATTTTGGTTCAGTAGTTTGCATATACTTCTATTTTACTACATGCTGTATTTCTTTGAAGATCATTGTCACTTAGATTATAATTCCTTAACAGTAGAGATTTTTTTTCCTAAGATTTGAATTCCCACTGCTGGACGAATGAATGGAAGAAATTAAACAGTCCCATATTTGTGACAGGAACTTTGGCATGAGAGTGCTTTGCAGAGGTCCCTTCCCAGGTGGAGGAGAGATGTTATTCACTGTTTATCTTCTCTGGATGCTCTTGAATATTTTATTTAGTAACTCTCTGGGGAGTATGAGCGAGTTATGTTTGGTGGTGGGTTGTTCTTGGTGATAAGAGGTGAAAAGTGTGACTGTTGTCTGAAGGTAGAAAAAATAAGGTTCCATTCTCCTCTACCTGAGCATGAAACATTCAGTACTGCAAGGTCAGCCTCTGCTCTCTTCAAACTCATTCCTAGGTAACCTTATCTTTATTCGTGGCTTCAGTTACCACCTCTATGAGCACACAGGCCTTCCCCGTGAATCCAAACCCATATCATTTCCTTCTTGACATTGTCCATGTTAGAAACATCAAAACCTGTAGAGAATTTTTATGAGTTTTTTTGAGCCAAATTGACGATCACATGCAGGGAACCAAGATCTCAAATGCTCTAGAGAATAACAATTTTACAGCTTCTTTTATGCATTTGAAATTAAAGAGGAAGTAAAGAAAATTACACAGAAGTGGGAGAAAGCCAGAGTGGGGCGGTGGGGGGGAGGGGGAGTAGAGAGGTGGGGGGTAGGGGACTGGATTAAAGGATAGTTAACAAGTGCTCTCTTGAGGGTAGTTACAGTTTATTTCAGAGGTGGGTTAACCTGGATACAGGGAAACAATGAACAGGGCTTGCTTAAGGGAAAGACAAACCTTTTACTACAAAGTTATATGCCCGGGGTGGGACTACCCACCTGGACCTTCCTAATTAGGAATTTATGATCAGATCACCCTGTGAAGTTACTTTTTTTGTCCATGATATCTTCTCTCAGAAACACTAGAGAGACTCTTAGGCTCACCCTGCACAAGCAGAATTCATGATGTTCCACTGCAGTTCTGGTCCGCTTTCGGGATTTGCTCCCAGTTTAGCACCTCCTTCTCCCAGCAAGGCAGAAACCTGGCAATAGACTTGATGAGTCTCTTTTCCTCATCTTCCATATCCAGTCTACCAAGCCCTTCCTATTTTAAAATATAAAGGACTCTTGAATCCTTACTATTTCTCTCCATAGCCAAAGCCACCAGCTAGTCCTAAAATTCTGTAATACCCCGCAACGGGTCTACCTATGCCCACTCAAGGCCCCCTCCAATCCTCTCTCCACCTCACAGATACAATGATCTTTTCAAAACTCAAATCTGATGGTGTCATGTTCCTGCTTAAACTACCTCACCGACTTATTATTGATTTTAGCCCTAAATGTGATTTATGAGGCTCGATACGGTCTGAGCCCTGCCCACAGCTGCAGGCTCATTTTGTACCACTCCTTCACTGGCTCTGGAAGACAGCCAGCCGTGGGTTTGTTTCATTCTTAGATAGGCATTATATCTTTCTTGCACCCAACGCCCAAGGCTTTCTACATGCTCTTCTTTCCCCACTTTCTGTCATTTACCCCTGTAATTCCTTCTGATGTCAGCTGAGACGTGATTTCTTTGGAGGCGCCATCAGAGATCTCTCTGACAAGGTGAAATTTCCCTGTTATAGTCACTCATAGAAATATATCCCCTATCTTTATACTATACATCTCAGTTGTGATTTTCTATGTGTGTGTGATTATTTCGCTGTGTCTGTCTCCCTCACTGGACTCAGCTCAATGCAGGGTAAGAACCCTGTGTGCTTTTGCTAAGTGCAGGGCGTGGCATATAATGAGTACTCCATAAATATTTGTTAGATGAGTGAGTGAAGAGACCAAAAAACACCCTTGTCTTGTGTTAGCTGTAGTCACAGCTATAAGGTTTTGTTTCTCTAGTCCATCCACTGGGACTTGGGAATAGCGTGGCCATAATTAACTCTTCTAGGCAATGATACTCATGATAAATTAAACAGCAGTTAAAGCCAAAATGCTTTATTCTTGTTCCAGTTCTGCAATGGTGTGTCCTCAGGCAAGATATAATGTTCTAGGCCTAAATTCTATATTTTACCTACAGATTGAGCATCTCCTTCTGCCCTTGAATTCTCAACAGCTGTTTCTCCAAGCCTCTCTCTTCTTTTCCTTCATGTCTGCCTCCCCAGATGCAAATGACTGTTGGCCTCCTGCAAAGGCAGGGGAGGGCCTAAAACAGAGCCAGTTTCTCGGTGGGAGGTTTAGGAGGAAGCATGGGAGCTAATTCCATTAGACTGCCTTTGTATTCAGAAACAACTGCTGGATTCTATTTCTTCGACAAACTAGTTTTGAAAAACAAGGCTTGAATATTTGACATGACAAGAAGCTAGTCCTAAACACTGTTGCCTGAAAAGATGTGAATTTATGAAATTGAAAACCTAGGAGCGCTGTTTTGGTGTATTTACCCCCTTTCTTGTTTAATTGAGGTGGTATATGCTCGGATTGATCTCTTTGTGGCTCAGTGATCTCCAAGCAATATAAACTTTCAAACTGCTATTGTTTATTTCCCATGTATTAGGCCTAAATATTTTATGGTAAATGAAGGGGAGTAACTTGATTTTCAGACTGGAATGTTTCTTCAGAATAAACTCAACAGGTTGCCTTCTTCATTTTTCTGATTCTTAGATCCCAAACTATCCTCAGTAGATAAAGTTCAGTTTCAGTAATTGAGGAAGAGATCCCATCCTGTCCTACTGACTTGCAATGTGAAACTGTCAATACCCTCTCTGTATGTTTACTTCTCCATCTCTAGAATGGACGCAGCAGTTCTTACCACTCTCAGGGAGGTGTCATTAAATCATCGAAATGATATCGAGAGAAAACGAGTCATTAATCCTGCAGAAAAACACATCTATATTTTCTTCATGTTCTTCAATTTGCGTGAAAATCTCCTTCAGAAAAGAATGTTTACACTGGATGTGTGTGTGTGTGTGTGTGTGTATGTATATATATATACATATCTGATTTGATAATTCCAAACTACACCCCAACAACCCACTTCTGAATAGAAAGAAAAAAAAATCAGGAGCCTACAATTGTGTAACGTAGAAATCTCTGGACTGGAGCCCGTCGCTGTGGTTTGGCAACACAACCAGCACAACATCTCTTTTCTCATCTCTTGAAGGGGAAAAAAAAAAAAAAACAGAAAATGCCTTGAGAATAAAGGTAATGATTAATCCATCAGGTACAAAAAAGGATAAAAGGGTCATTTTGAGATTTCAGGTTCTAACTTATTCAAATAAGTAGCTAGAGCAGGGAGTGACAATTTCATCAGAAGAGGAGTAAGTCACAGGCTGTAATTGGGACGGTGTTTTTGGAGGCAGATAACCTCATCGGAGATCTGGAATCTGAGCGGTTCTCAAAACTTCCTTTTTCATGTGTGAATGAAGTAGGGATCAGAAGAAGTGTGTATTGGTGTAAAGAGTGGTCTTTGGAGAAGCAGCACAATGCAGCCTGAGAAGAGACAAAAGAAAAGCCTCAAGCAGAGACTGGTTTTGAAGAGCAGCTTGGCTAAAGAAACACTCTCCGAATTCTTGGGCACGTTTATAATGATTGTAAGTGTTTCCTGATTTTCTGAGTTCCAACCCAGTAACACCTCCCTATCAACCTAGCTGGTGATGGAGAGTTTTGTTTTGGTTTCTTTTTTTTAAGTTCATCATTAGATGCGTGTCTTCCAGGAAACAGCAAATTACTTCCAGGCTGTTTGGCTACTTAGTGGCACACTATTAGGTTTCCATTTACTCATTTCTTTTATCCATACGGGTTGATGCGGGTGGGAGAGGGGCAGCGAAGGTCCTTCTTTATTTTAGAGATTTACTCAGACTGTAAATATGGCTTTACGATTAATGTCAGCTATTAGAAATTTTTCTCATTGATAAATTAATTTATATATAACCTGTTTGTTTCATATAAACATTGAGGTGGTTCAGTCACTTGCAATAAGTATTGACAGTCAATAAATATGGATGGTAAGAAAAAGCTCATTATTACAAGTGCTTGGCAAAGACTGTGTTGACAGATCACTTGACTTTTAATAAATTAAACATTGCACTAGCTAGAAATATTATATTGTGCAGTAATCCAGTTTTGGCTTTGTATATTTTTTTTGCCCTCTAATTCAAACTATTCTCTAAAGATCTTTGAATAGGCATTTACAATAACCTTCTATATATAATGGAAAGACTGATTCTTAGAACCTCACAAGGATTTTGTCCAGAGACTTACACAGCCATTAATAAAAAGCTGGAAAGTTTAGTGGCATGGGCTCTAGATTTCTGTCCTGTCGTATATTCTTGCATTCTCTGGATCCTGAATTTTCAGCTGGAGCCAAACCATTTGTTAATAGAATATTAAATCTTATATTATTTTCATATATAGCAACTGTTGATTTTAACTTGCTTTAAAAAAAAATGTTCAAGGATTTCCAAATCTAGGTATAAATAATTTCATTTTTCTTAAGATTATAGAGTATCGTCCATAAACTTTGTACATTAAAAGTTCTTTGGTAACGTACAGCATGGCAACTATAATTAATAATAATATGGTGTTACATATATGAAAGTTGCTAAGAAAGTAAATCTTAAAAGTTCTCATTACAAGAAAAAAATTATATCTATGTATAGTGATGGGTCATTTCACAATATATAAAAATATTGAATTATGTCATACACCGAAACTAATATAATGTTCTGTCAGTTATACCTCAGTCTTTAAAAAAGTTCTTCACTTGGGTAAATACATAAAAATTTAGGAGAATAAGTAAAAATTGAGAAAGAACATGAGCTCAAAAAACTGAACTAGTGAAAATGAGAGTCCTAAGTTTTCTGGTCTCTGAGAGCCTTTTTTTAAATCTCATTTACTCAAGTATTTTCAAGGCATTATGGACAATTTTTTGCTCCTTGGCTGTCCTCACCTAGATGACTTAGGCAGGGGAGAGTTCGAAGGAAAAGGAACAATAAAAGCCTATGATTCTTTCAATTCCAATCACTACTTACTGAAAAATAGCCCTCAGGGAGACAGAAAGTTGATGGTTTGGTCCCAAAGATGAGAATAGTTGTCAGCACCAACTGACTTTAGCTCCACAATAATGTTACCAAACTCCAAGGGTTCGTTTTTGCCTGCATGCATCAAAGCCAAAAGAGACAGGGATAGAGGTTTGCAGCTAAGAAAGCAGAGGTTTATTTAAGGAAATGGCGCCAAGCCCAGAGACACAAAGACCTGGCTCCCTGATTGTCTCTAGTGGATGTAGGAAAAACTCATTAGTCATGGTAGCTAAGTGAGTTGGGGTTGCAGGCCCTACTGATCGGTCAGGGCTAGGGTAGGAGGCGGTTGTTCATTGCATCAGGTCCTGATGTCAATCGTGCTGTAGTTCTGTCTGATTTCAAGGGGATGCCAGTAGGGTCATTCTGCCCTGATGGGTGTGGAGCTACAAAATGTTAACTTTAGTTTGATCGAAACTCTGTTTCTGTGGTCCTAAGGCTATTCGATGCTGACCTAAGGGCTTAATGATTAAGGGAGTGGTCGTGCCTTATGCAGAAAGATAAGGAAAGAAAAGAAGCAAGTGAGCCCGAGGGCAGTTTGAATCAAGGAGAAAGAGAAGAGAAAAAGTCATTTTAAAGAAGTGAAGATTTGCACTGTCATAGTAACCCGTGTTCCAGAGAAGTGGAGCAAATTGTTACAACTTTGGGTGTTCTGCAGAAAACACGAAAGAAAGTGAACTAAACATCCATTTTGCAACCAAAAAAGTTAAAATCTACTTTCTTAATGAGAACCAATTTTATAATACCATCCTGTCTGGGTTGAGTAAGTGAAAATTGCTTTTAGTCATTCACAATTCTGTTAAAAAACAAAACAAAACAAACAAACAAAAAAACAAGTAAATGTGAAGGTCTAATTGGCTTTATTAAACAGTTCATCAGTTGGGCAGCATCCTGTTTAGCAACCATAAAGGTGCTCGGAGGAGTTGTACAAAATGAAAGGATTTATAGCCACAAAGAGGGTGGAATTAAGAAGTTAAAAGTGGATTGTTTCAGGCAAGGTCACCTTCCTTTAGAGGAAGACTAGGAGTCTTATTAGGAAGATTTTGTAGAAAAAGGATTATTTGGGGGCTAGGATACTTTTCTCTGGGGGGAGGGGAGAAGAAAAGGAAGGGTTTTTTACCTTGCAGATTGCCTCTTCTTTCTGTTGATGGGGAGCAGGGGCCAGTAATGGAGAGGGCTCAAGGGACGGATTACTGGTGTTTGGCCTGAAAATCCTAGACTGGTTGATTTAAGGTTATGTTTTGGGGAGAGGTTGAAACTGCAGTTAGGTCAGGTACTAAATCCAGTTTTAGTATCATGGGCTTTCAGCACAAGTGATGCTATTTTGGGCTTGTGGTTTTTTGTTTAACACTACTCATTCAACTAGTAGTATGTCTTCCCCTGATATTCAAAGTGAGAACTAAAGAAATAATATCTTAATATTGTACGTTAAAAAATTAAACTTTATAGCTTCTGGTTAAAGCCAATCATTTCATGAAAGGTTTGATTTCTATCTATACTGTATATTTATTTTCTAAAGCAAACCCTGATGAAATCTATAATTGTGATTATAAGCTTCAGTTTTGTGGAGGCTTATAAGGATGTGTAAACAGGAAGTTTCTGCACAAATACAATAATTTTTTAACCCATACATCTACATGGTTTTCCTCGAAGATTTCCAAAGTAATTATCTCTGCTTTATTAGAAAAGGTGCATTTTGCCTTGCTTTCTCTAGGAAAAAGCTATGCATGGAGAAAAGGGAGCCGTAAAAAGGTGTCAGGATATACAAGACTCTCCAGTTCTTCATGTCTGTGAAGCTGGTTTTTGCCTCAGACCCTAGGAATCTGGGACAAAAACTGCTCTTAGGGGAAGCTTCTCAAACTCATTCACATCATGATGTAAATGACTGATAAGGCCTATTGGTAGCATTAAAGGAAGAGAAGGTCCATGAAAAATTCTTTGTAAACTACAATTAAAACAACAATAATTACATCATAAGCTGAAGAACTAGGTTTAATTTGGCCTTTTAGACATTGGGCTAGTTAGGTCTTTTTGCTAGTGTCAGAGAAAAGGTTTGAAGCCTCGAGTTGCAAAAGTAGAGACCACGTAGTACCTACCATATATAAGCTTGGTACACATATACATTTGTTTAATCCTTACAATAGCTGCATTAGTAAGGCTTTATTTTCACTCATAAACAGTTGGAGAAATAAGGGCTCAAAGAGATGAAGTAACTGGCCCAAACCACACATTGCTGAAATTGTTTCAGCAATGTCCTTGATATAAAGCGAATCAGACTCCCTCTGCCTTAACAGTTCCATAGATTAGAGCCATGAGTTAGCTCTCATTTGCTCCTGGGCATGTGAGTTTAAACCTGAAAGCAACTGAGAACAGATTGTTAGTTATACCCTGAAGCCAATGTCTTCACTTTCTCTGAAGCTGAAAAGACTACTCAATACCGGTGGACAGGTGTGAGGTGAAGGTAGAGAGTAGGGACTGTTCAGGCCCATGCATGTGGGCTCACGGCCTCGCAATTTCAAGCTGCACATTAAATCCACATTACATGTTAAGTTCCTGACATAGGAAACACTCATTCAATGCCACCTCCATTTTGCCTTTCTTGCTCCTTCCCCTCTTCTATTTAGAGCCCTTGTAGTGTTTGAAAACAGCTGCTTTGTCTCCTCCTGGCCATCTTACAGGCCCCTTTCCCTAGCATCTGCCACAGAACTCTGCACATACATAAATGGGAGCCCATAAATGGGAGTTGACTTTAAATCTCTTTTTGGGGCTGGACTTTCCAGGATCTCTAGTCATTTCTCATATGTTCACTTCTCACTATTCTGTGTATCCTCCTCTCTCTTCAGACATTTCAGTATTCTTTGATATAGAGCTCATCCTACTGGAGATGCTCAGGTGAACAGCCCAACAAGTAGTCATGTTTCCTCCTACAGTGGAAGGACATTCCTCCAAGGCTAGACTTCTGAGTGAGTGGCACCTGTTTGTGTACTGGGGAAGACCCTGCATTCTTTACTCACCCTGTGAAGTTTGCACATTAGAAATCTACTTTTTGGCATTTCTAAGAATCAAAAAAATGCAAATACTTCTTTTAAAAGTAATACCTTTGATCTGTACCCTGAAAGGAAACAGCAAGGGTAGAGGCCTGGGACATAGGATATGGATGGCATAAGGGAGTGGGCAGTGCAGGAGGGAGGGAAGAAATGGGATGGATGGTGCATGAGAAACTTAGACCTCACAGCGTTTCCTATGTCCGCTCCTGCCTTCCTCCATGACTTCATGTCCAAATGTCTCTCCCTGCCAGTCACTGAGTTTGTCATTTCATTCTAGGAGGGTTCTCAGATATGCTGGCTATGGAAATTCTAGGGCTTTAAAATTATTATTACAAAGTGTACTCAGATCTTGTAGTAGGTTTCCATATTTGAGAGCTTTTAAAACAAAAGAATATATGGTCAGCGTTTAGAGTGAAATGAGAAAGTTCTTAAAATAAGCCAGTTCTTAAAATAAGTCTGCTTTGGCAT